CCGAACATATCAAGCTTTGATCTGCCTTTCTAAAAGGCTAAAGGTAATGTTTTTTTCCATTTTTGACCGTTCATGGACTGCTGGGTTCATACTGAAACTTTCCCTATCAAATCTGTTTTGTCCCCCCTTGATAATCTTGTTGCCTGGGGTCGGTTTACATTGCGCTTAAATTGGCGCGTACAAATCTGCTGCAATGAGTTTGAAGTTCTTAGCTTGTTGCAGCAGAGGTTGCACTTTAGCTCTCTGTAGTGGTTGGGTCTTTCATATGTTTTTTGGAAGGAGATTGGTGCATTGAAAATCTGATGCAACAAGCTCAACTCACGGTTTGTTGCAATATTATGTGTACATCAGATTTTCTTTTCTTTGATTGCTGAAGCTGTGGCTTGTTTGATGTTTTGTTGTTGTTTGCTGCCATGAAGATGATTTTGCACTAAGTGATGTTTCTTGGCTGTCAAAAGAGAATGAAATGGTTTCTCCTGTACTGAGTGATGATTTTGCTTTATGGTCCGAGAGTTGAGATGTTACTCGAATGTTCTGGTTCGGCATCTCAAGGGAGTGTTGATGTTTCCTGGCTGTATTCTTTTGGTTTCCCTGCTGCATTTCATGTTGCACTGGTGTCATTTTATTTTCCCTCTCCCCTTTGTTCCAAAGTCCAGCATACGGATAAGGTTCTGGTTTGGGGTCTTGGTATTTGTTGCATGAGTTTGCTAAAATCTAGAGGCACCAGAAATTTCAGACGCTTTATCAGTTGCATGTCTACATTTCTGCCTAGCTCCTTTATCTAGTATTTGTTTGCATTAAACTTCAGCTTTTGATTGAAGTTTGATTAATCATGTCAATTTCCAGCTTTTGTCTTGTGCGAATTACATTCAGTTTGGGCTGTCAAATGTGTATAGTTTGTTTGAGTTCTCACACACGAATATATCTATGCTGAATTTTTAAAAAAAAATAAAAGCTGCTGCACTTTTCTTGTTGTTTCCTCTCTGCTCACCGAGTTTTGTACATAAAGTGCTGTTTAATCTTATGTTGAAGGAAGAAAATGAAATGTTTTGGTGTTGAGTCTGCAGTCTTTGAATCCAAGGAAACATAAACTAGCTTGAATGTTGGCCAAGTAAGATAGATCTCCCTAAAAATCCTGAATAGTGGGAGAGTTTTGTTTTGTTTCTTGAATGAAGCTAAGGTCGGCAGTTTGCTTCTAATTCCAGATTTCTTTCCTTCCTTTGTATACATGAAATGGCATTTTGAGTTTGAGTTTACGACATTTTAGTGGGTGCTAGGAGGTTGGATCCTTTTCTTTGTTAAGTTTTTTGTTTGCCGCATAAGGTTGCTCAAGTTTCCAAAGCTTGGGTTGGCTGTTGAAAATCTCCTCTTGTTGCAGAAATGTTTTGTAAGTTTTTGCATGAACTTGTTTGAGTTGTTCAAATTTGCATGTTCTTTGGTCAGACTTTTGGTGTTTAAATCTACAAATTTCATGTTGCAAAGTGAGAGGATTGTGTGGGAGTTTTGTTTGGATTTGATGGCATTTGAAAGCTGGATTTTATGAATTGCAGAAAGTGCCGAATTGCAGAAAACTTTCAGCAGAAATGTTTGTTGTAAAATGCTTTCACGCCACTTTTGCATGGATTTGCATGGAAAAATGTTTCCAAAAATTACACTTTGGCCCCCAAGTCTCCTCTTGTCCTACTATGACCCAATCAATTGAATGATTTCCTCAATTTGGTCCTTGGTAGCTTTTAATTTTACAACTCCATTGCTTGTTTGTTTCAATTGACTACCATGCTTTGTTTAAATTGCACTTAATGCATGAATTTAAGAGCTTCGTGACCATGTGAACCTGTGTTTGCATGTTTTCTTTAATTTTCCCAAATAAATTGGTACTTTGACCATTTCTTTTATTTTGGAGGATTAATAAGTGACTTCACTCCATTAGAGTTCCATTTCAAGGGAGGTATAACTTCTTTTATCTTTTTTTGTCTCTCACCTATGTGATCCAATGTGCTAAATGAGAATTGCATGTCTATTTTTTTTTCTTCTTTACTTTTCCTTAATTCCTTAATTCATTTCATTTACTTTTGCTTTTTATTTAAGTTATTCTTTATGGGGTATGTGTACACCTCTTGGCTTGTAATAGTTAGGGATTTAATTATTTTATTCCTTTTCCCCCTTTTAGATTGTAGTAGGCCTTCTCCCCCCAATAATGTAATAGTTAGGGCCTTAATCGCTTTGTGTGACTTGCATGCTTACGTGCTACGTGTTAACTTGCTTTGTTAGGGTCTTGCATCTAGTCGAGCATGCTAAATGTTATGTGCTATGGGTTTATAAGTGTTTGGCATGTCTACTCGCTTTCCATAGCCTGAATGAATGTGATGGATGAATGTACGTTTCCACTAGTCCAACGCTAGTCGGAATTCATAGAATGGGTTAGTCCAACGCTAGACCCTTAGGGATTTCCCCTCGTTAGTACATGTTTGCATGTTCATTACATGTCATGCATTCTTTTAGTTTTATCATTTTGCATGCCCCGCGAACTCCTTTTCCCTCCATTTTAGGATTTTTGCATTTCATGCTAGTTATAGGGTTCATTTGCTTGAGAGTCCCCTTAAATATGGGATATAGACGAGTGTGGCTTTTTCTAAGCCTTAGCACGCTTGTATTCCCTCTATAAAAGGGCAAATTGAGTCACGATTTAGGTCTCCCCGTACCCAATATGCATGAATTCCCTAGGCTCATGCATTTTTAAATCCACTCTACCATTTTATACCCTCATCACACTTTCATTTTCCTCTCATTTTGCACACGTGCACCTTTATGTTTCTTCACTTGCACACGAACACTTTTATCATCACTTGCACACATGCACTTCACATTATCATTTCACATACCGTACCTTGCCCACTCACGTGCACATTTTCATTTACATATTTATTGTTTTTTATTACTTTTTCAAACTCATGTCCTCACATTGCATACATGCATTCCATTCATTTGCATCCCACTCGCATTATTCGTGACTTCTTCAAAGGATCGTTATTGGGCTTCACAATTAATGTGATTGGCACCACTCAACCTTTGAAGAGAAATTTCCCCCAATACCCCTAGGTCTAGGGTTTGCATTCATGTAGTGCACCCAAATGTAATAAATTCTTTGGTTAAAACAAGAAAATCTTTGATTAAATCATGCAACTAGCCTTGGCTAGGTCAAAGGGGTGCCTTGGATTTTATCCTTGCCTTCCCCTTTGTCAAATGTGACTCCCGAACCTTTTTCTTTGGTTTACGTAGACTAGGAGTCGTTTAAAAAGGGTTTCTCACTACTTTTTCCTATTTTTCTTAAAAAATACATTTTTTGGTGACTTGGTACACCTTAACTCATTACCAAGTGGCGACTCCGTATTTTTCAAAAAACCCTTTTTAAACTATAATTTTGGGTCAAATCGTCGCATTCTCAAACCCCCATTTAGACCCATTTTTCTTTTAAATCACGATTCATTTTCCAATCACAAAATACATTTTTTAAAACCATTTATTTATTTTATCAAAAAATGGGGCGCGACATCGTTCACTATCGATTGAACACACCACTTGACCATCACTTTCTTACCATGAAATATCATTGAAATTAGTGCAAAATATCAGCCCCTTTCTTAGCTCATAGTGGCCGAAATTATTGACTAGAAAAACACAAGGAAAAGAAAAAAATTTGAGAGTTAATCTCATGGCGACAAGTGGCGGTCATCCAAAGGTTGTTGACCAATCAATTTCTTCCATATTTATCACCAAAAATCACACACATTGCTCCTCATTTCAGCATTCCAGCCGTGAGTTTTGAGGGAGAGAGCAAGAGGAAGAAAACTCCATTTCATCTTGAGCTTAATCCATGTGAGTGAGAAATCAAGGAAACTAAACCGATTAATCTCTCAATTAGGAGCTTAGGAAGCTTGGGGAGCTAAATTTTTCAAAGAGAGGTGAAGGATATCTCTTGCAAGCCTTTTATTGAGGTATTATAGCTGTTCATCTTCCTCCTTTCCCTCAGTATTGTTGAAGTTGTGTAGTAACTTGTATTCGCCTTGTGATACCTAGTTAAGGGGTTTTGATGCTTGTGGTGCTAAAATTTTGAGTTAGGGTTTTGAATGGTTCACTTATATTTCTTATTGTTTTGATGGTGTATGGTGTATATAATCTCGTATAGGAAGTTGTAGTAGTGGTTTAAGCTAGAAAGGTGAAGTTTACACTTTAAAATCACTAAATTCTAGATTTGGGTTTTCATCTTACCCTGTTCTAACTGGTTCTGTTTGGCCATGATGGAGGCCAAATTTGTGAGAACCCTCATTTTAAAACACAATTTCCTCAATTAATTGCCTTATTCTAGGATTTAAATCATATATTACATTCCATTACAATTGCTTTTCTAGGTGTTATAATAATTTTCATGCATTACACTTTATTCCTTTTACTTGTAGTAAAACATTTTTTTTTAAGATAATTTTAATTAATGCACCACTTACATTTTACCAAGTGTCTTTATATTAGTGGTAGAAATCTTACATGTAGGATTATAGGTGCTAAAATATGATTGGTGCACTTGGAAAGATTAGTTAGGAGTGTTAAAGTATTATTGGTGCACTTGGAAAGATTAGTTAGAAGTGTTAAAATATGATTGGTGCACTTGGAAAGATTAATTAGGAGTGTTAAAGTATTATTGGTGCACTTGGAAAGGTTAGTTAGAGGTGTTAAAATATTATTGGTGCATTTGGAAAGGTTAAGACACCATTAGTCAAAGATTAAGAGAGAGTTGGACAAGTAAGTGGACATGTGGCTAAACTTTAACCAAGTATCTTGTTGGAACCAAGATTAGAAGATTATTTAAACTAGCCAAGGCCTTTTCTTTGCTTGTGTTGGCCGAATTTCTTGGCTTCAAGAGAGAGAGAGAGTGAGCTCCATAAACTTGTTTTCTTACTCTAGCAAACCAAGAACAACAATCAAGAGAGAAAATCTGAATTAGTGAGAGAGTTCCTACAACTCCAAGTGTTTGATCCAAGCTTGAAGACTTACTTTGGTGAAGTGATTTTGGTGATTCAAGCTCACTATAAGAGAGGTATATGTTCTTTAAATCCTGATTTTTTTTGATAGATCATGCACTTGAAGTGTTAATAGCAAAGATACAAGTTGTTTGGTTGAGATGTTGAGTTAGTTTCTTGAAGTAAACAAGTAGTAGCTAGGTTTCTTAGTATGTATACCAAGTGTTTGATGAAATGTTTGGTTCTTATTCATGTTTGTTTATGAGGTATTATTATGTTTTAAACCTCTTTTGAGCTAGAACTACCACTTGATATGATGATTGAGTAGAAAACATGCAAGGATGAAGATTGAACAAATGTTGAAAAGTGTGGGCTGGTTGCTTTGTCTAGGCTGGCCGGTTCTTGTAGGAGGGATTTTCCCTCAATCTTATTGTTAAATTATGTCATAATCAAGCCTAATAAACTAGGTTAAATATTGGTTAAGCCTATGAGCAAGTTGGAATGGAGTTGAAGCAAGTAAAGTGGTGATTTTGAACCATTAGTAGACTGTTTTAGGACTCTTGTAGTTATGGGATCATTATGGCTACCTTAAATCAGGTTGTATGTTATATTGTGAACTCCATTGATCCTAAGTGACTTGAATCCTTGTATATGATCACTTGAGGAGTGAATTGGGTGAATTTGAATCAAAACTAATGAAGTTAGCCCTAGAACTAGAGTAGTTTGGTATAGGATTAATGTTGATCCAGGGTTGGAAAAACAGCCATATTATCTGAATTACTGTTGTTGATAGGAGATGAACCACGGTGTGAACTTGGTACCGTTGGAAAGCCCTTCGAGTCTAGTTTCCAACGCCACTGACGGCACCTAATTTCGACTTTTCTACAGTGAGTTATGACCGTTTTCCTAAGACTGCCAGGGCATGACTGTGCAACCCGAGAAGAAATCCTTAAGCATAATTGGAACTTTTCTTTTGCCAAACCTTCATGCACCTACTAAACTTGTTTTCTCATGAACTTTTACCATGGTTTGGACCTTGTTTGCATGACGGATTAAGTAGCTTAGACTACTCACTTGGTCTCTTATTAAGCCTAACCTAGTGGGGCATGAATCTAATTGTTAACGATTTCACTCGTTGCCCTAGGTTTGGGAAACGAAGGTGACCGTAACTAAGACGTTTGACATCGATTGCTTCTTTTGATTGACAGGTGAGTGTTCCACTACCTGCTACCTGCTTATGTGAAATATTTGAATACTTGATTTACGACTGTTTGAGCCAAACCCTGATTTGATAAAAGTGGAGGCGAGGGTGTACTTTATCGCACTCGTCCTCCTTCATTTTCACTGAGGCTCTGTATACTGTTATTGTGAAATGTGAATTCTCTATATGTGACTGTGCTTGAGTTGTTTGGGTGACATCCCATCAACTACTACTACTGTTTGGGTACCCAACCTCATAGGTGAGTCGGTTCTATCGAGCCAGCAAGGGCTTGGTCGAGAAGGCCGATAAACCTTGAGGACTGTTTACTGTTCACTGAAACCGGTATACTCGAGTATTACCTAACTACTGTTTATGAAGTGCGGGCCCGGTGGGGGGGGGTTGATTGGTGGACGGAGACAGGTGAAAGTGGTGTTCTACGGACTAAATATTCTGTGTATACAAGTGTTGACGGAGTGTCAACGAAGACATTTATGATCAAGCTCAAGGGAATTTTGGCTTTTGAAAGCCACCCGTATCCTTGAATTGAATTGTGGATTAATTGTTATTGCATCAGACGGTATTTACTTGATTACTCTATGCCTTAATTTGACTATGTGTTTACTTGTTTTACTTGGAACCTCACTGAGCTTTAGCTCACCCCACTCCCTTTGTTTTCCTTAACAGATCGGGGATGGACTAACGGTCGAGGGCTTTCTTAGCTTTGTTTGCTTGAACTTGTAACCTTTTGTTAAGATGACTTTACCTTTTACTTTTGTAAGCTTGAATTTCTAAGTTTGACTTATGTTATGTAATTCGTAGTATGAAATGGTAAGTGTGACTCTTACCTTGCCGTATTAAGTTTGGAAAGTTGATTGATAGTTATGTGTTATTAGGATTGTACAATTTAATTTGAAGTTATTTTCCCAGTTATTTTGAGTTGCTAGTTCTTTGATCGACTGAGTCCCGGCGAGAGTTGGGCAGGCAGTCCGCTGATACCCTAGGGTTCGCCCTAGGGAGAGGTGGGGCTGTCACAGTTGGTATCAGAGCTTAGGTTTGAATTAGCTTGGGCGAATTAGAAGTTTCCAACTTAAGGATTATATTTCATTATTTTCCCTTAAGAGTACTAAAGTTTATCTACACTTTTGTGTAGGATGGACGGACCTAGCGGCTATAGTGATAGTCCTGTTGGTGAGAAGCTCCAAGGAGCACTTCCCGTGATTAAGTATCAAATCCGGCCTGGAGGATCTAGAGTTTATTGGAGCCCGTCAAACCGCTATAGGCGTTGCGAGTGCCGTGATATTTATGGCTACCCTAATGAAGTGGTATTGGCGGTGGTAAAAGAGCGTAAGGAGCTTGCCAGGGATAATGCTAGGCTTGAAGCCGAAGTGAAGCAACTAAAGGAAGCCAATAAGATGCAAGCCGAGCAGATTAAAGAGCTCGAGTATGATAATGTTGAGGGCCAAGAGAGGATTGACGATCTTTGCGCACAGTTGGAGGAAACTCAAGAACGCATGGTGACTAGGACAATGAAGGTGAGGACTAGGGCGGAGTCCATTCTGAATGTTTGTGACGACCTTCTAGGAGAAGCAAGTGATGAGGCTTCTTATATGGACATTGGCTCAGAAGATGAACCTACTGAGAGTGGGGGGTCAGCTAGTTCCGCCACTGACTAGGTCTTCACCATTTGGCTAGGATAGTGGATGATTTTGACATTGTACATAGACAGGTTAGGGGATGTGGTGACCTGGTGGTTGTATAGCTCTTTTGACTACTCGTGTTAGGTTTTGCTTGATATGACTATATCTGTACTTTTGGGACTCGTACTTGCTATTTTGGTTTCGTTAGCTTGTAAATGACTGCTATAAGTCCCTTAATGTATAATACTTTGACTGTTGATCTTGATCTTGGACTATTGACTGTTGACTATTGACTTTTGACCTTTGGCTTTATTCCGTCATTAATTTTAACTACAATGCATTTCACTTGCTTGTCGTGTTTTCGATTTTCATTTCTTACTTGACTTTTCATATGAGCATCTATCATATATCATATTGCTTACCCGGTTAGTTATCGTACTTGGGCACTAGGCCACTGAGTAATAATGGAGACTAGACAAAGGCGTACTCGGGGCCGTGAACGAGAACCCAGGCAAGTCCAAGATCAAGGGGAGGAACAAGGTTCGGTGGCGAATCAAAACCAGGAACCCCGAGGTGATGGAGGGGACCAAGTAGCAACAGCTATTAATCGAATGACTGATTTGTTGGCCCGCTTGGTTGACCAGCAGGGTCAAGTACCTGGTAACCAACAAAGGGACCTCGAAGTAGGCGAGGATAGGGCCCTGGAGCGGTTTCAAAAGTTTGCTCCTACAAAATTTCTTGGAGGACCTGAACCTGAAGTTGCCGAGAATTGGTTCGAGCGAATGGAGGATATATTCGCCGCGTTGCATTACTCTGAAGAGAGGCAAGTTACCTTTGCCGTTTTCCAGCTAGAAGGCGCGGCCCGTTCCTGGTGGAACGTAGTAAGGGCCAAGTGGGAAAGGGAGCAAACCCCACGTACCTGGTTAAACTTCACGAGGGAATTCAATGAGAAATTCCTTCCACCCTTAATTCAGGAGAAAAGAGAGGATGAGTTCATTAAACTGCGCCAAGGCACTTCAAGTGTGGCAGAATATGAAACGCAGTTCACCCGACTTTCCAAGTTTGCCCCAGAATTGGTGGTAAGTGAGCAAAAGCGTATAAGGCGGTTTATACAAGGTTTGAATGTAGAAATCCAAAAGGATTTGGCTGCCGCTCAAATTGACACCTTTAAAGATGCGCTTGAAAAGGCTCAACGTGTGGAGCAGGCCCGATCTCAAGTTCGGACCTTTCAGGCTAAGAAGCGTGGTACATCTACCAGTACTCCTGGCCGAAGTGATCAGAATGTGCCACCTCCGAAGTTTGGAAGAGGTGCGGGTGGAGGTCGAATTACAAGGATACCAAGAGGAGGAGCTTCATCTAGAGGAGCTCAAAGTGGAAGGGGACAGGGACAACAGAAGACTGGCTCCCAAGGAGTTCCCGCACCCACCACACGTGTAAGCTGTGGATATTGTGGTAAGCCAAATCATACCGAAGACAATTGCTGGAAAAAGTTGAAAAAGTGCCTTGTTTGTGGAAGTTCTGAACACCAGATTGCCACTTGCCCTGTTAAGAATCGTGACGGGAACGGGGGTACCCAGTCGGAAAAGTCAAACCCTAAGCAACCTACAACCAGTACTAGTCGACCCAAAACCTCTGCTAGGGTTTTTGCTTTGGACCACCGGCGAGTTCCGGATTCCTCGGAAGTAGTGGAAGGTACGATCCCTATATTCCACCGTTTAGCTAAACTTTTGATTGACCCTGGGGCAACCCATTCTTTTGTGAATCCTGCCTTTATGTGTGGTATTGCTGTGAATCCTGTTAAGTTGCCCTATGATTTAGAAGTGAAAACACCCACTGGGAATCAAAGCCTGATTACCAATATGGTCTATAAAAATTGTGAGATTTGGGTAGGAGAACGGAAGTTAGTGGGTGACTTGATAAGTTTAGACCTTAAGGGATACGATGTAATTATAGGCATGGATTTGCTAGCCCGTTATAACGCCCAATTGAACTGTAAAACAAAGGTGGTAGAATTCTCGATACCCGGAGAGGCAACTTTATGGTTAGACGTGAGAGGTAGGTTAGCCTCGTCTGCACTTGTTTCGGGAATCCGAGCCAGAAAGTTGTTGAGTAAGGGGGCGCAAGGCTACTTAGCCTTCTTAATTAATACTCCTGGAGATAAAGTGAAACTGGAGGATGTTTTAGTAGTGAATGAATTTCCTGATGTCTTTCCCGATGAGTTGAAATCGATGCCATCAGAAAGGGAAATAGAATTTAAGATCGATTTAGTACCTGGAACTGCTCCCATTGCAAAAACGCCATACCGAATGGCCCCCGCCGAACTTAAAGAGTTGAAACTGCAGTTACAAGATCTGTTAGAACGAGGGTTTATTCGAGAAAGTGAGTCACCGTGGGGGGCGCCAGTGTTATTTGTTAAGAAAAAGGATGGTAGTTTAAGACTGTGCATTGACTATCGTGGCCTAAATGATGTTACGGTGAAAAATAAATATCCCTTACCACACATTGATGAATTGTTTGACCAACTACAAGGGGCAGTAGTTTTCTCTAAGTTGGACTTGAGGCAAGGCTACTACCAGTTACGAATTAGGCAAGAGGATATACCGAAGACTGCCTTTAATTCCAGATATGGTCATTTTGAGTTCGCTGTGATGCCTTTTGGTTTAACGAATGCCCCTGCTGCATTTATGGATTTAATGCATCGAGTCTTTAAACCCTACTTGGATCAATTTGTTGTAGTATTTATCGATGATATTTTGGTGTATTCCAAGACTCGAGAGGAACACGAACGGCATTTGAGGATAGTTTTGCAGACCTTAAGGGAACATCAGTTATATGCCAAGTTTAGCAAATGTGAGTTTTGGTTGGAGCAAATTTCTTTTCTAGGGCATATAATATCTAAAGATGGAATTTCTGTGGATCCAGTGAAAGTGGAGGCTATAGCTGAGTGGAAAAACCCGGAAAACCCGACTGAGGTCCGTAGTTTTCTAGGTTTAGCCGGGTATTACCGTCGGTTTATCAAAGATTTCTCCAAGTTAGCCGGTCCTTTAACCGACCTGACCAAAAAGCATGGTCAATTTGTCTGGAATTCTAAGTGTGAATCTAGTTTTCGGGAATTGAAGAAAAGGTTAACGTCGGCACCTGTTTTAGCTTTACCAAATGGGAGAGATAGTTTTATGGTATATACGGACGCCTCAAGGGAAGGTTTGGGGTGTGTTCTAATGCAAAATGGGAGCGTAATTTCCTATGCCTCTAGGAAGTTAAAACCCCACGAGCGAAATTACCCCACTCATGACTTAGAACTGGCCGCTGTAGTTTTTGCATTAAAGAAGTGGAGGCATTACTTATATGGAGTGACTTTTGAGGTGTATACCGACCATAAGAGTTTGAAATACTTATTCTCTCAGAAGGAGTTAAACTTAAGACAGCGTCGGTGGGTGGAATTTCTTGAAGATTATGACTGTACCATTAATTATCACCCAGGCAAGGCTAATGTTGTAGCGGACGCTTTAAGCCGACAAGTGCAAATAGCCGGATTGATGGTTAAGGAATGGAATTTGTTGGAAGAAGTGAGTGATTGGAACCCGCAATTAGACCGACAGAGGGTAATTTTCTGCAATATTACAGTAAGATCTGATTTGTTGGACCGAATTAAAGAGGCTCAAAGGAATGACTGGATGGTGCAAAAGTGGACAGAAAAAGTGCAAAAAGGAGAGTTACAAGACTTTACCGTGGGTTCCGAAGGTATCTTAAAATTTTGTGATAGGATAGTGGTACCACAGGATGAAATGATAAAGGGAGATATTTTGGAAGAGGCACATCGGTCCAAGTATACAGTGCATCCTGGAAGTAATAAAATGTATCAAGATTTGAAAAGGCTGTATTGGTGGGATAAGATGAAGAAGGAAATTGCTCAGTTTGTCCAAAAATGTTTGGTGTGCCAACAAGTGAAAGCTGAACATCAAAAGCCCTCAGGTCTTCTACAACCTCTGGAAATCCCTGAGTGGAAATGGGAACATATTACTATGGATTTCGTATCAGGGTTACCCCGTACCCAGAAAGGTCACGACGCCGTTTGGGTAATAGTAGACAGGTTGACCAAGTCTGCTCATTTCTTACCCGTAAATATGAAATATTCTATGGAGAAATTGGCCCAATTATACATGGATGAGATTGTGAGGTTACATGGAGTCCCTGTGAGCATTGTGTCTGATAGAGACCCACGATTTGTGTCTCGTTTTTTGCAACAATTACAAGGAACCTTAGGGACCAAGCTGAATTTTAGTACTACCTATCATCCCCAAACTGATGGACAATCGGAGAGGACCATTCAGACACTTGAAGACATGTTGAGGACCTGTATTCTAGATTTTGGAGGAAGTTGGGGACAATACATGGCTCTGGTTGAATTTGCATACAATAATAGTTACCATTCTTCAATACAAATGGCACCGTATGAAGCTCTCTATGGAAGAAAGTGCCGATCACCAATATTTTGGGATGAAGTAGGAGAGAGAAGAGTTTTATTGGCCAAAAGCATTGTTTCTGATACGATCAAGACCTAACAGTATGCTGTGGTAAAATGATGACCGAGTAAATAGAGCCATAATTATAGGAATATAGTTGTTGGAACAATCAAAAGAATCTCGTAAAACAACAGGACAATCTTTACATGTTATTAACTGCAAAAATGCCATTAGATCTCGAACTAATTGTTTAACTTACTAGAATATTAATCAGAATTTGCTACAAATTTTTGGTAGGTAAGTGTGCGTATGACAATGATCATTATTGAAGGAAGCGAAATGTGCCACAGTATGAATTGGGTAATTGCAGAGCTGGTACTTTCCAAGTGCTGTCCATGAGGAGCTATATATGCTCAGTTCACAAACAGCGACTGAGATTTTTGAAGAATGGACTCGTCAAAAACATATAATTTGCTGCTTCTCAAGTTTCAAGAACATCCAGAGGACCTTAAAAAGGGGAAATCACACACGTGAATGTATGGACCACAAGGCTTATGTCTTGATAATATTCATCCTTCCATCATAAAACTCAAGACCAACTTAGTAATAATTTAAAAACTTGAATCTGAAACCTTTCCGTAGCTGGCCAACAAAGTAATAATAGGAATTTTTACTTACCAAAATTCACGGTGGTTCAGAGCAACCAGTCAAATTGGACTGGTCAATGGTTCCTTGAATGCTTGCGGTGATTTTTGCTGGAGATGACTGGAGTAGAGATGGCTAGAGCTGGAGGTAACCAAATAGACTGAGCTAAAGAATAAAGATGCAGCAGTGAAAAATGAAGGCCTTTGTGGTGCTAAATTGCTAACGGACAGGTGGGGTGTGGCGGAGAGGCAGAGCAGAGGAGATGGTGGACCGTGGGGTTGAAGCCGCAAAATGAACCTCCACTTGGTTGTGACGGAGAGGCAAAGAGGTGAAGCTGTGAAATCGAAGAAGAAGAAGAAAAATTATACAGAGCAGAGGCGGAGAACGGGAGAAGTGAGAAGTGAGAACCCTAATCAGAAGTGTTATATTTTGACTTCTAAAATGATAAATATGCCCTTTATTAGCGAGCTCTAACGAGCTACCCGGATACCAAACGGTCGAGCTTATTCGGCTCGTTAATTAAACGAGTCCATTTCTAGCTCGAGCTCGGCTCGTTTATCACAACTAATGAGCCAAGCTCGATCCTTATCGAGCCAAGTTCTAACGAGCTTTCAAGCTACTCATTAAGTTTAACAGCTCTAAATACCATAAAATGATATACTAATATGGAGTTCTTTTCTAAAACATTATTTTTTTTAAAAATGTTCCCAAAACTTTTAAATTGTACGAAAAATATGGAAAGCAAGAATGAAAGATGGAGAATTTCTAAAAATGGTGTACTATTTTTGAAATTTATGAATGAGGTGTGAAGCACTATCCCTAATTTAGTTTGTAGGATATAAATTCTTAGTAAATCAACATTGTATGATATTTCTAGATTTCACCTTTTATGTGCACGTTTGAGAAATTGTATGTGCATACTCACGTGCACAATTCAGTGTACATATGCACATTTACATAAACTCAAATATTCACATTCGAATCACTAAAATGCGCATTTGTACACAGTAGATCCGGATGTATACATATGCTCACAGAAACACATGCACACATGTACAATATGGGTGTTCATGAATACTTATTGCTATTCAATAAATAATGTGTAAATTACTACAGCAATAAGTTATTCTTTTAACAATAAATTTATTAATCACGCCCTATTTACAAATTTTTAAAAACTTACACCCTTTTTAATAAAGAATATGATTTTTTTTTTGCTATGTCAATAGCTAAGGGCGACAATATTACGCCACATGAGTACTTCTTACATAACAAGTGATAACATTTCATGCATGAGTTAGTACTTTTCGTACACCTTGTGAGTACATTATCTACAAGAGAAATTTTACAATTGAAATATAATTAGGTGATTATAAACATGGTTTGTCTTACAAATTAATTTAGATGAGAATTTTTCTTCATTTTTAAAAAATAATTTTCTTATAGGTGAATTTTACATTGTTCTCACCTATGGCTAAATTATACATAATTCACCTAATAAGCAAATCATTTCATGAAAAAGAAGCAAAATTCTCATGCAACAAATTAACCTATAATACAAACATGTTCTTCATCACCTAATAATATTAGAATTCTAAGACTACTCTTGATAAAATACTCACACTGTGTAAGAAAAGTGCTAATTCATGTACAAAATGTTACGACTTGTGCAAAAGGTCCTCATGTAGTGTAATATTGTTGCCCTTAGCTATTGACATAGTAAAAATAAGGAAAAAAAGAAAATATGTTCTATATTAAAAAGAGTGCAAGTATTTAGAAATCTGGAAATGGGCTGTGAAGTACTTTTCAATGTCTAAAATAGTTAATAAAATATAGCAATATACATACATGAATTCATTACACACACACACACGCACCAAGCTAAACAAACAAAGCTCTTTTGTTTGTTGATTGCATGTTGGACATTCTAATTGATCAGTTTTCTTCATGGGTCCTGGCTGATTTAGTTGATGTACAATGTTCTTCAACTGTTTAACATATTCCCCTTTGTTTACAGAGGACGCACTCCTTGTTGTGATTACGCTTTTTGTTATAAACCTGGTGGTCAACTATTTTGGGATTCCTTTAGAACTAGGCTTGGATTTGTTCACTTTGTATATGTTTTATGTAGAAAGCAGGCCACTACTTAGTGTATCTTTATCTCATAAGTAATAACGGTAGGATTTGGGATTGCTTGAGGAATTCAAATTTTTGACCCAAGCAACTGAAAGATTAAAAAATAGTGGAGGATATCGGAATATAACTGTTTGGAGGATTATATCTCTGTTTGAAAATTTGAAATCTTCATTCTATTTTTGCAGAGAGAATTTTCAAATTTGGTCCATAAGTATTCCACCATATAACGAATCAGGGTGGGAAGTCATATTTATTTGTTTACTTATTACAAAATAGGTAAGACTGTTGGTTTATATGGTTTTAAAATGAAAAAATTTGAAACTAGGCAATTTTGTTGTTCCAATAGGTTGTTGTTCACCTGGAACTAAAAATAAAAACAAATATGCAAAGAAAGATTAAACAATAACAATATATTAATAATTAAGTGTGGAGGGTTGAGGCACGGGTATTTATCTCTTTTTAAGGTAATTCAAGCCTCTGCGGAAGAATCAACTCTGGTGCAGCAGGTTCTCTAGCTTGTCACCCCTAGCATACAACGGTCCAACCACACTTGTTAACACTCTTTTTAGACTGCACAACTAGGAGAGTATAGCTCTACAAATACCTTTTTTTCTTGCCTAACTATGAGATAGAAAATAGTGAATTTAGACTAAAAAAACATAAGTTGTTGTAGTAGAACTTTTCTATCTCAACTATGCATATATATAGGTGAAGAAAAGTTAGACAAACATAACCTATATTACTAATAAAATAACAAATAAATACTGAAATTATTGGCCATTCAAAACACATTCAAATTTATATTGTAGGTTACAAAAAACTTATTGAAAAATCATAATTTCACATAATGATTCTTTGGTCAATACCCATTCAATCCAAATTTGAATTGTAAGTTACAAAAGCTCAATATAATTGAAAAACCATAATTTCATATAATAAATCTTTAGTAAAAATCATTCAAACACCTATAAATTTCAAAAAATTTTACCAATTTATTTCCCTTGTAACATGCACATTTAATTGAGAATTTAATTATTTTATTAAAATACTACAACAATCCCCACTTATTTTAATAAAATAGTATAAAATTTAAATGGCAAGAAAGGACTATCATACATAATATAGGTAGCATTGCCTTCAACCTATATTTAGTGTTGTAGTAATTTCTAATATCAAAGCCAGTAGTGAACTACAACCTTGAACTATGGCTACTTATGGGTATTAGATATCACCTTACCTATATAATAGTCCAGGTGTTCTCATGAGCTCTCAAAACTGGCACTTTTCGGCCCTGTGCTCAATTTCAGTTTCATGAGTGTATTAGAGAATAAATCCCTTAATAGCTAAGTCTATTAATAGCAAAGCAAAACAAGAGATGGGTCATGGGCTTGGGTAATTAATGGGTTTATGGCTTAGGCTTCTAATGAAATTAAAACTTAAAGGCCTAACACTAAAACTCTACTTGATCCAATGTAATTAACCCATTGGTTTACTAACTTAATATCCACTTAATGCACTAACTTAGTTTAATTAAAACTTAAGCACACTAACCCAAGGTACTAATCACTCGAACCCCCGTACTAAACATGCATGCGTGCACATACAATCACGAAAATATTAATTGGTTGAATTTAATTTAAACTTAAAGGTCTAGTTTTGAAAGTAGGATTTTAATGATTCAATTAAATTTTTCACTTTTGGTATGTAAAATACACTTTGAAAATTAAAACACATGGTAAAATTGTGACGCCCCCACTTCTCCCTAAGGCGAACCAAAGGGTATCCGCGGGACGCCTGCCCAGCTCTCGCCAGGACTCACTACAATCCATCATTCAAAAGCTCGAAATACTTTAAGTAACCTCAATACATAATTAAAGTATTTCAAATATCTCACACTTACAATTATGCAGCTTTCAAGCTTAAATACAACCCAACGGAAAAGGGTACAATAGCCATCCGTTATAATATAACTTAAAGTCTCCAAAAGAAAACAATCTAGTACTAATCACGAGCACCCTTGGTCTCTAACCCTGAAAAGAAATCCACAACGTGGTATGAGCTACACAACCCAGTGAGGTTCCAAGACACTCTAACAGTTCAAATAAATCAAGTAAGTTAGGCATATCATATGCATGGTTCAAGGTTACATAATGGCGTGTTATCATGAGACAATAATCATTGTACAGGTAATTTGAGCATATCATAGGTATGGCACGTTTTCATAAAACGGTTATCATTATGTAAAATAAAAACACATTGAAGGATACGGTGTTCCAGTGGAACTCTGTCGGTCATCTGCACCTTATGACTTCCGGATC